CCCACATGAGTCCTACGTGAGTCCCACAGCAAAAGAGCCAATAAATACATAAAATAAAGGGTTATTTTGAAAGAATATCATATTTATATGATCATTTATCAAAAAAAGTTTTGATAAAATGTTTTAGTGTGTTAAATAGACGATTGTAAATTCCAGACCACAGTCAAGAACGATAACTCTGTTCAAATGTAAACAATGGCCAGGAATGACAATGCAATGCTTGATCACTGATGAAAGCTTACTTAAAAAAAAGTAGATATTTGTAAATAATTTTTTTAATTAAGAATGTTAAATTAATAATGGTGTTATTTCTGAATTTAATTTGTTCTTCTGTTTTACTTGAATTTTTAAGTTTCGTTTGAAAATATTCTTCCAACATGTATTAACGTTATATATAACATATAACTAAAAGTATGTTTTATTTTATGCTAGTAAATTATGATTTGTTTCTTACAAACTAAATTAGTTTTATTGTAGTTTTATGATATTTAACAACAATTAAACTTGGTAAGTTTTCCTGACACCCATGTTTATTGAATGTGTATACACACAGACACCTGTAGAGATACGTCCCTGGTATATCTGTATACAACACCTGGGGGATGTTATTCACACCTTTCAATCCCGCTGTTGTTTGTATACCTATTACAATAACTTTTGAACAAGACTGGGGCTAGGTTATACAATTTTGAATTCAAATAAAATATTTAATTAAATGTAGAATTAATGAAATTTCAGCTACTATTATACATATATGGCAAGGAATTAGTCCTGACTTTCATCTATGTTCATTTGTAACCAGTTAGAAGGGTTACAATACCCTATTTACAAGTAGCACTTTCTCATTTATTCTCCTTTATTTCATGGTTACAGTGGTTACAACAGTTACTGTGCTTTGTGTGATATTAGTAATACCAGACCGAGGTTTTTGTTGATTCATGGTAAGATGGCTACAACAAAAAATATCCAAGATGGCGTCGGCGATCAGAGCGGGGAAATAAAAAGTAGAAGAAGGGGGAGACCGAATAAAACAGCTTCATGCCCTTCCTCTAGGGATAACTCTAGGAACAATTCGCCCAAGAAATCTCATTGTGTACTAGCATTAGACAATGAAGAAGTTTGGTGCTGTAACTTATGTAAAAACGAATTCATGTCGGACGAAGACAAGCTCCTTGAGTGTCAACGATGTACCAATCATTTCTGCATAAAATGTCTGAAAAAATCAGTTGAGGAATATAACATTATGTCAAAAAGTGATGTCATGTGGTTTTGTGGTACATGCAGAGAAAAAGTCGAAAAGAACATAGTGGTGGATAGAGAGATAGAGGATAGGTGCAAGGAAATAATGAAAATATTTTAGTCAAGGATTGATAAACTTGAAAAGGAAGTGCAAAACAAATGCAGTGAAAATGATGTCCGTGCAATCGTCAAGGATGAACTAAATAATAAAGTAGCGTCTGGAAATTCTGAAATCACATCGAATAATGATGAGGTACAGCCTAAAGAAAATGTTACAGCAGTCCTGCAGGAAATAAATGAGAGGAAAAGTCGGGAAAATAACATGGTGGTATATGGAATTGAGGAGTGTGAGTCAGAATCTAGTGAGACACATGATCTCCCAGACCAGCCATGGTCAAAACTTGGAATTGACATCTTTACTCTAAAGACTGAGGATTACCTTGTCACAGTTGATTTTTACTCAGATTTCTTTGAGCTCGACCTTCTTCCAGATACCACGGCAGCTACAGTAATCAACTATTTGAAACAACATTTCGCACGTCACGGAACACCAGATGTTGTAATTACCGACAACGGCCCGCAGTTCAAATCAACAGACTTTCATGATTTTTCATGTAATTGGGAGTTTCAGCATGTAACCTCCTCCCCTTATTATAGTCAGTCAAACGGGAAAGCAGAAGCAACGGTGAAAATTGCAAAGAACATGGTGCGCAAGGCTAAGAAGAACGGAGATGATCTGTGGAAATGCGTCCTAGATTGGAGGAACACCCCAACAGTTGACATGGCCAGCAGTCCGTCACAACGACTCATGTCACGAAGGACTCGACATTCCTTACCCATGTCAAAGTGGAAGGTAGTTTGTTGGCAGTCATTAAGCCTTCACAGTTTCATTTGTTAAGTAGTTTATTAGCAGTTCCTTCAGCCTTCCATGTCCCTCAGACATGTTGATTTAATATTCATAAAAATAGTCAGTTCAAGGCAGTTTTTCTTAGCCTTCCAGTTTTCAATGGGTACTCGAGCAGTTATTTTCAGCGAAATATTTAAATGAGTTTAGAAAAACTGCTTGAAACCACAAATGACTGATTTAGAACTGCTACCCCATTTCCATTTATGGTTGTGTATGATAAATATTCAAAGCAATATGAAGATGCTGAAACTGGTACACAAAAGTACAATTTTAAATTAAAACCCTGCCAAAATATGGCTGAAATATTGCCATTAAACTTGGCATGAAAAAATAATAATATATGAAATACAGTTAAACAGCAAAATTGTAAGTTAATCATTTATCAAATTTTCCAAAGTCTGAAGTCCAGTTAAAAACGTTAGCAAAAATATAGAAATACACTATCAAAAATCCTTAGCTAAATGTATAATTTACCTAAACAATTTCAAGTAATTCTAAAATTAATTAACAATTTATCACAAATTTAAACAAGCAGCAAATTTTAACCAAGTCCAATTTCTCCATTTAAATTTAATACAACAAATAACACAATTAACTCCAAAAATCCGAAAACTATCGTAACTTTTATGATCGGGCTCGATCTATACACAATTTACGACCGCCAAGTTCGCAAACATTCCACCAGACCAGTCTACAATTTTTGAACAAGGCAATAAACCTTCAATAGTTTACAAAAAAAACAACTTAAACTGCAAGAAAATAGGATTCCGGCCATAAATATATGGTAAATCTACTACGGAAAACCAGTTAAAGTCCCTGACACAGAAGTAAGCTCAAATAATTACACAACTTTACTACTGCTATAATCAGCTGATTTCTACGCATCAAAACATGTGTACAAACTATTTCAACTCATGTAAACCACTTAAACTTATCAAGAATCACCTATCAACTAAATGAAAACCATAGATTAATATATATTCCTGCATTGTCAACTAACTATAACACGTACATTTAAAATTCATCTCAACTCTCCTACAATCTGAATGTCAACAATAATCAGGTTCCATAACTCTGTATAAAACTAATCTGTCAAATCTCTGGACCGTTACAAAATATCAATCATTATATTCATTCAAGGCCATATATATATATATTATACTTACCACTTGTTTAAATGTCTACATCATTATTTCAATAAATCTCAAGCTCTGTGGCCAGCAGGCTCCCTCTGTATTGGCTTATAGCCTTTTGTCCACAAATACACATGGCAGCCATGCAGAATTCAATTTTGGCGGGCAGTTGTACTAAGCTAAGTTCCTGTTGATTTTATTTGTTGGAACTTTGAGCCCAACATTAAAATTTCTCTTGAACCCAATCAAATTATACAAGGAAACTGCTTTGAATTGCTAACAAAACTGCTTAGGAAATCTGTCTTGTCCTCAAGCATATGCAGCACTGCTAGGGAAACTGGCAACTGCTTAAAAACTGCTTAGGAAAACTGTTTACTCCCAACGCCCTAGCAGTTACCAAAGAGCAATAAAAACCAAACTCTTTGGTACTGTTTGAAAACTGTTAAAAATTTCTAAAACTGCTAAAGAACTGCATAATAACTGCCTATATAGGCAGTTCACTTTTCCATGGGTACCTTTATCGCCGGAACTACTCCAGCCCAAACTTGTGGACAATGTAGCAGACAAAGTTAAGTTCAAACAGACATGTCTGATTTATTTAAAGGTTTCAACTTGTACATGATGTATGCTGGTAGTGATAGAATCTACCTGTCTACAATTACTAGATTTTAGCTATGTAGCTTGAATTACCTTAATTGCTTTATTTACCTACCCGAAGCAGCTATTTTCAGATAGACTCTTCTGAATTAAACTTAATTCTTACACAAGAGATGTATGTAAAACACTTATGCCTCCCTCCCCCAAAATCGTAATTTTTTTTAAAAGTCCAAAAGGGCATAACTTCGTCATAAATGGTGTGAACGTACCCAAAACAAACTTAAGGTAATATCTAGTAAATTAAAAGATGCCTACAGCTGTACAGATTTATAAAATTTGAGAAATAAATTCTTTAAATGATGCTTTATAACCATGATAACTTTAGCTTGGTCAAATATGCTGTTTCGGGGCATAAATCGTAGATAAACAAGATGAAAAATCATATCTTAAACTGTCATTTTCAATTAATAGTTAAGAAAACCTGAGCCATGAATGTGAGAGTTTTTTTCCATTTCAGAAATAGAAAATGTATGCAGATTGCCTACAGTCTAATACATGTTATAGAAAACAGTAATTTGTACACTGAGTGGCCAAAAGTATTGCAACAAACATGGCTGACGTCATCATGTTGTAATATGGAATGCATAAGAAAAAAACGATTTTTTATTAAATAAAAGTTATTAACTTGCAATATTTCTTTAGTATTTTGTTGCATAGCCTTTTTGGATGATAACCTGTCGTTGTCGTCTCGGAAATCAATTCATAGTATCACCATACAAATACAGGTTCCTTGAACATCATAAACATTTGACGTAATGTCTCAGTGACATCATAAGGGTCAATGGCATTCAAGTTTACTGTGTATAAATCTAAGAAAAAGAAATATTTCATGCATTAAAAGTCATAATCAGGCAAATATAAAATATGAATAAGTAACAGATGTAAATAGAATTAATAAGGTATCATTTTAAAACACCTCATAGGCCATAAATACAGTGAACAAGATAATTGAATAGTAATCATGGTATTTATAATCGAGGCTTTTATTGCCCTCTCCCTCTATATTTGAAAAAATATGTTGGTTTCTTTGAAAAAATAATTGTCCAATGCCATCTTTAAAAAATTGTTTATATTTTTTAGAAAAAAATTTCCTAACTTACCTTTTGATCCAATTATTCTTACCCTGAGAAGAGAGAGAACAAACAAACATTTATGTTCTAAAGATGGCTTAATGTGATTTATTTTGTTTACTTACAGATGAAGTTCCTCCATTGGAGGATATGTCAGAAATCTTACAACAAGCAGAAGTCATCAGGTCAAAGGTTAATAGTTCACAGGGTAAACAGTCTGTTGACCCCAGCCCCAGGGGAGCAGTTCCACAGAAGGGTCAGGGTACTGAGGTAAGGGGTGGTATATATACCGGTAATGGACATCTCATTTTCCATAGAATTATAAAATGGAAATTATTTACATGTACATGTATCATTCCCATTGAAAATCAGTCTGTTAATTTGATGCAAAGATAATAATTATATTTATTTTGGTTAAGTATTGATAAGTAATAGCTATAGGGTTCTGCCCTGTAAAGACTTCTTTATTGAAAGTTACAGATTAGTCAAAAGCTTGGAAAACTGAGATCAAGAAATCTAAAATTTGAAGGAAGGAATTTCACTAACAAGTTTGTGGCAATTTGTTCTAATTTGCATCTTGTTTTTCATTAATTGACTTGATTCGATTGAGATTTACACCATTTATAGATACAAAAACTAAGCTGAATACTAGAAATTATAAAACATCAACTTCTAAATTAAAGAAAATTATAGATTTTTATTTTTGTAGAAACCAAAGGAAAAATCATCAGATACTCAAAAGGTAAAACCAGCCGAGAAAAATGTACACCCTCAAAATCTTCATCCAGTTTTGGGGGGTTCAAAAAAGGATTTTTATTCGGAGGAAACAGTTCTTTAAAGTCAGACTCAAAGGGAACAAGTTCATCTTCCTCTGAATCAGGTGCTAAGCAGAGTACGTCTGACCTTCCCTATATAACCAAGCAGTCTACCAGTGAAAGTCGTGAACTCCCAGAGGTTCAACAACCATTGTCTGCAGAGGCTCAGAAAATAGCACAAAACAAAGGTAAGATTGACTGCAGAGGCTCAGAAAATAGCACAAAACAAAGGTAAGATTGACTGCAGAGGCTCAGAAAATAGCACAAAACAAAGGTAAGATTGACTGCAGAGGCTCAGAAAATAGCACAAAACAAAGGTAAGATTGACTGCAGAGGCTCAGAAAATAGCACAAAACAAAGGTAAGATTGACTGCAGAGGCTCAGAAAATAGCACAAAACAAAGGTAAGATTGACTGCAGAGGCTCAGAAAATAGCACAAAACAAAGGTAAGATTGACTGCAGAGGCTCAGAAAATAGCACAAAACAAAGGTAAGATTGACTGCAGAGGCTCAGAAAATAGCACAAAACAAAGGTAAGATTGACTGCAGAGGCTCAGAAAATAGCACAAAACAAAGGTAAGATTGACTGCAGAGGCTCAGAAAATAGCACAAAACAAAGGTAAGATTGACTGCAGAGGCTCAGAAAATAGCACAAAACAAAGGTAAGATTGACTGCAGAGGCTCAGAAAATAGCACAAAACAAAGGTAAGATTGACTGCAGAGGCTCAGAAAATAGCACAAAACAAAGGTAAGATTGACTGCAGCGGCTCAGAAAATAGCACAAAGCAAAGGTAAGATTGACTGCAGAGGCTCAGAAAATAGCACAAAGCAAAGGTAAGATTGACTGCAGAGGCTCAGAAAATAGCACAAAGCAAAGGTAAGATTGACTGCAGAGGCTCAGAAAATAGCACAAAACAAAGGTAAGATTGACTGCAGAGGCTCAGAAAATAGCACAAAACTAAGGTAAGATTTATCAAAGTGTAACAAATAATGGAGATATGGTTAGCTGTGTACACTCAATAACTCCGCTGAAGTAAGAATTTAGCATCCATTACATTACTTTACATGGTTCATAATATTTGTACATGTAATGATTTGTTGTGTTGATGTCAATGCTGCCACAAGATAAAGTTAAATACAGTAATTCTCAGTCTCAGTTGAGTAACTAATGATTGCTCTTACATGTAGTAGGACAGGTACCGTACACCTCATTAGAACAACTTCAAATTCTTTCAAATGTAACAGACTTTAATGAAATATATGATCTTGTTTTTAATCACACAGATGAGTGGTTGACTGATGGCCTGATGAA